AAACGGATAGCAGGTCTGATTTGCTGATTTTAAGAGAGAACCGAGAGAAAACTATTCAGAACGAAGGCTGTTTTGCCAAGAGGTTAAACGCGTCTTATCCAATGTTCGTCAAGTTGCGAAGTAGGCCATTTTCATGATGTGCAGAGAAGTTTCGTTGAAGGTGAGACAGAAGGCTTTACCAACCGAATTTTAAGGTACTCAGCCGTTTAACGCCTCATTATGCCGTTCACAGATGGGTTGCAGTTGATGAAAAATATCTGAACTCAAAAGCAGCTATGGATTTTCAACATTATTGTCGTTGCCTGGTTAATCGGCTATGGGTGTTTTAGTTTAGTCTGTGGTTTCATTCCTGCCGCCTATTTGACTCACTGTCATTACCACCCTAATTATTTGATTTACAAAGATACTTTTTTTATCTGTCGTGAAAGCCATGGTGTATTTTGAAAATGTTGCTCACGTAGTAAACTCACTTTCAATTTCACCTTCACTTACCTCACCAATTTAAAGTATGCAGATGATATTGTTCTGGTGAACGTCTCAGGAGGTGACCTAAAAACCCATACTGCCAGTGTGTGCAATATGGCAGAGGAGGTTGAACTATGAATAAACTTGATAAAAACAAAGTGATGAAGGTGATGAAGGCACCAGCAGTAATATAATTGTATCGAAGTATTTTGACATAATCATATGACGATGAAAGACGTTGACCGGTTTTAGTACTTAAGTTCGAACGATGAAAGTTGTGACTCAGACACTCGCCGATGGTTTGGACTTGCAGTAACAAACTTTGCGAAACTCAGTGAAAAATGGAATGATCGTTCAATATCGATAGAGGCAGAGGTCATCATCTTAAAGGCAGCGCCTTTCTCTGTCATCTTCATGCTATTAAAACAGCTGCCAAGAACATCAACGGCTACTTGCATAACACCCTCAAATCCCCGTGGTTCGTCGAGTAACGAATAATTTCGGACTCTGAACCGCCAAAGTGAAGAATTTCTCTAAAGATCTAAGAGACCGACACTGCTTTCGCTTGTATGAAGTGGCTCAAACGTCAGAAGCAGCCAGAAAAGCATTGTTCTCATGGCAGTCGATCATGGGGCATAGAGGAGGCGAAAGGCAGTTTCAAACCTAGCAAATCCCGTCGAACGCTCATCCACTCCCAACAAGGCGTATGGCCTTTGTCGAAGCAGTTACTGCTTAAGGTAATCTGAGGACTTCCTTCCTGCATTGTCAAGCATCTTTAATCTGCGTTAGACGGAGTTGTTAAGCTATCGCTTTCCAGATAACGATGCCAAACAACATCAGATCTTTGAGACTAAGCTGTAGTACGTATCAACAATTAGTTGATCGCCCTTGTGCTTAAGATCATTCAGTAGTTTGCAAGGAGATTTTTGACATAGTTTTTTCGCCACGTTTTTCACACAAAGTCTTTAGAAATAGACACTTGGATTTTGTATAATGAGATTTATATGCGGGCAAATCTTTAAAGAATTTGGTGACGAATCAGCTGTGTAAAATTCACTCTGATGCAGAACGAGCTATCACTTCTGAAGAATGGAAAACAAGTCGACTCTGCCATCATAATTGGAATCATATGCAATGCAGATAATCGAGATCATGAAAGCCGGTTTAAAGAAATTTGTTATTCCGCCAAGAGCCATGGTGAACAGAATGAGCAACTTTTCCCTCTGATACCATTTTTCGCATACAGAAGTTTGGTAGTGCGTGCATTCTAGATCATCGGCGTCAACAGATATGGATGATCCAGTCAGTCGTGTGAACAGCCTTCGAGACAAAAGAGGGACGCATAGAAGTATCGGATGGGTTGGTTATATTGGTCACCAGAATACGCTGGGTTGACGGACCCAATGATCAAAAAGTTGCACCAGAAACTGAGAGGTACATCAGTAGTGTACTGCAACTTTTTGGAAATTAAAAGCCTAGCAAAAGTTTTGGACCATGGTTCCGACTGATCTTATCAGCTTAGATGCTGAAGCGCTCTGAATCCAGATAAGAGCCACAGTCATGAACAGAATTGAGGCTCAATTTTAGTATGTTTAAATTATGGTAAAACTGGTGTAGACTTCCGGCATGAAAAGACAAATGGGATTACATCGTGACTACCTCGTGTTCTGAGAAGCAATTTGTTTCTTGCAGTTGATAAACAGTGGTAACTTCAGCCGAAACGTTCGTCATGCGCTAACGCGTTTACGCCGCGTATATTCTCAATAAATTCATTATATCCTACTCGTTAACAACTCATACTTTCAAGAGGCTATATGCATACCAAAGTAAGACATGATTTGGAATAGAAAGTGAAGCCCCGTTGACTTTCATTTATGGAACCCCAGCAGTAACCAACGTGGTCAGACGAGAAGACCAGTGATATGACGGATAGCAGTTACTGCATCGCTTGCTTTCTCGAATAGATTATTTTGAGATCCAACAAATTGTATACCTCAATGCACAGCAGATGCAGTAGTACCGTCAATCTGTGCCTTGTTGAAATCTCTCCATATAGCTTTAGGGGCAAAATTATATGGGATTATGAAACATAGACCCTAAGAAATGGTGCCTAATTAATAATAATGCGGACATAACGATAGATCCCATGTTGTGAAGTTGAAGTGATGTATGTTTGAAAATTTCTCTGCTAGCTAACGTATATTGATGACACTGTCTTGTATTACAAATGCCATAAAATTGGCAGATAAATTATTTTAATCATGGTTTATCAATTTTCAGGCATCTCAGCTTCGGCAGACGATATCTAAGAATTGAGCAAGAATTGATAGAAGTTTTGAGCGAGCACTGCCGCCGACTAAGGACTCTCGAGCTTTCGTTTACTATTCTTCGAGGACGGATCAACGACTGGCTTCTTCGACTCAGTGGCTATCTGGAGGAACTGAATCTTGAAGAAACCCATTGGGCACCACATTGTTTGAGCCTTGGACTCGACAAAGTACTGTCTGAATGCGCCCATCTTCAGAAATTGAATCTTCTAAGACACTAGTATGTATTTTTAGTTTTGCCCTTCGTGATCGATGAACTTTCACGTGACCATTACAAATATTAACAAATGTTGGGTGAGGGGAAGTAACGTACTGTTGTTCTATATTTTTAGGGTGTATGTTTGGAAAATGGATTGATTTTACTTTAATTTTCGAGTGTCAACAAGTCTAACTTTGAAACCCCTAGCTTCAATGTGTTCCAGACAATGTCATCGTCTGTCAAATGGCGTTGATTGTACTACATAAAATGACAGGGTAGACATAAGAACTGCATCCAACTACTGAAACCTCAGCGACCTGCCATGAGCCGGAAAAATAAATAAAGTTCCTCTCAGTTTCGAAGGCCATCTACCATCAAGGCAGGCACTCTGAGGACGGAAGAGTGACAGAGTTTGTGGGAAGAATTCTGAGGAAAAGGAAGAAACATATGTAACCACTGAGTAGTGGCCAGTGATCTAAATAGAACCTACTTATCTTCAGCAACTGATTTACCAAATGGAGTGTCTTGAAAACTAATTCCACGGCTGCAAAGGGTGAACAACTCGCGTGATGTAATAGCATCCTGTAGGACGTCATTTTAAATTTGGATTTCTGTGTGCTTTCATGAACCATCACCGTTTACGCTTCCATCCGCCTTGCTTTCTTTGGCGGCCATGCACTGTTCTCGATACTGTACCTGCTGCTTCCACCATTCACCAAACAGCTTCGTCAATAGGTCGTCCCAGCTTGTTGGTTCCTTAGCGAAATCGATTGTGACTGCGAAGCTGGGTAATATGTGGCCTGATTCCGTGGACGATGTTTTCTCCGATGACATACACATGTTATTAACCGCCCTGTTTTGTCCGTCAATACGTAGTCGGTTCAGTCGAGGGTGGCTTCATCAGGGTTTCTCCATGTCTGCTGCCACTTCCTGGCTGGTTCAAACTGGTGGTCATGGTATGAATACAGTTACAAGGCGAAAGCTGCGCCTATTTCGCTCTCCACTTTCAAGCCTGTCAATGAAACCCTCTGTCTTAATTGTTTCCTTTCCTATTATGTGATTAAAATTTCCTTTGACCATTGCATAGTTCACGTCTTTTGAACTACGCTTTCCAGGTTCTCGTACAACTGCTTCATTTCTTCATTGTCCTCTTGCTGCGTTGGGCTATAATCCTCGACTATCTGTAGTCATCGTCTTTTGTCCAGCCGCAGAGTTCGTGCGGCAAAATGAGGTATCCTGAGGTCGCAGCTGAATGTGATCGATCCAGTCATCTTTTTACGACGAACCCCACATCATTTATGCGAGCCCGCTTTTCGTATATTTCCTGAGGTATATTTCAACCCCTTTATTCGATTGTGCGAGAAGTTCAGCGGATCCTCAGGTTTCGCACCCGCTTAGAGAACGTTTGCAATGATATCCTTCGCCACAGTGAGGTAGATGTGGTCGAGTGGATGTAACAACAGAGTTCCGTGTTGGGGCTAGTCATGAGGCCATTGATTATATCCTTTTCCGTTTGCCAATCGTGTCCTGGCCTACACCAGGTCATGATCCCAGTTTCTCGCAAGCTCACGCGGTCGACAGCGTTCACGGCCCCGGTATTCTTCAGCACGTACAGTGTTTTTTTTTGGCGAGTTTCGAAAGCAATTCATTCTGAATGCCAACCTTCGTGAACTATAGCCTTGTCCTACCCATTCTTCATTCGCCCATGGAAACCCAGAAGAAGGCGATTGGTGAGTTCTTGCTCGCGGTAGGGTTCACTGACCAATGTGGGGCCTCGCCGTCTCATCCAGAAGACTAACCATGCAGAATGATGAAGCTTCACACCAGCAGCGAATTGTGGCCATAGATCCCCTATCTTCGTAAGGACTTCACTATAGGATGGATAGAGAACAAGTCGAAAGCCTTCTCGAAATTGATGAGCTCGTGACATAAGGGATATTGATATTTCGATGATGGTGTATTTGGTCAATTTAGTTTACAGTGATGAAGAAAGTGTTGTCTTGAAATATGACATGAAATGCGATATTTCTAATAAATCAAGGTTAGCCGTCATGGAGGAAAGTGCAATCAAATGGACAACAGCCGAAAAATTATTAGCAAGCTTAAATTTATTTATTCTATTTACTGTTATGCTCATTTACTTATGGCACATGTCACTGTTAAGATCGGTGACGACATGGCTTCATAACTTTACGATGCTTAACAGTTAAAAGGAGTGCTGTTTTATTCTACACACAGTTCAATTTAGAATAAAGCACTTTTCTAAGCTTCAGTATATTTCCACCACAATAAGTCCTTTCGAACAAATTCTTCATGATACGTGTTTACTTGACATTCAAAGCCGTTTCTTCTTTAGTTCTGTCCATTTTCCATTCGCTCTCGGTTGGCTTGCTCAGACGAAAACGTCATTGGTATCTCTCAACTTATCAGGATTATCTGGTGAGGAACATATTGCCTCATGGCTCCTGCGGGAGATTATAGCTCAGAACAAGCGCCTGAAATGTTTGGACTTGGAGCGAGTTCAGACGGTGAATTCCAGCGTGATCTCAGCAATTGCTGGCCTGCCCTGTTTGGAGGTTCTGAAGCTCAACTTCATCACACGCCGTGACATCGACCTCTCACCGTTGGCACGACTCGGCCGCACGCTCGAAGAACTGCACCTCTTCGCGAACGACTCGGTCACCGTCGACGTTCTGTCTTTGATCTGCTCAAAGTGCAAATGTCTACAACTGCTGAACGTTGCAGAATGCTGCCAGCTGAACAGTGAGGATTTGCAGCGCTTACGGACAACATTCCAGCATTTGCGGTTTCAAATTTCCTGGAGGCATCCAGTTTGAGTATGCTAGAGGAATGAAGCGGTCTTTTCTCAAATTTCTCTGATGATTTCCGAATCAGTTTTTAATTATGATGATAATTATATTCGCACGGATGCCAGAAATATTGTCAGTCTTCAGATGAATCGATTTCACAGATTTTGGAATTTTTCTAAGAGCTGATTACGCGTACTTCACAAGATCTATCGATATTCTTGCCCAGAGTAGAACTACTGGATGCCTGCAGAACGTTGTTAAGCGCGTAAGCATATATAGGTACATGGCTTGCTTAGTTTTCTATACAGGCACTGGGAAAAGACAGCGTGCTGAGGATGAAATTTGTCATTGAGGACTTCTTGGCCAGATATGTCGATAATGCCATAACTGAGTTAACCAAAAACGTAGGCAACAGTTGAAGCTGAATAATGCCTTGAAAGGACAGAAATTGCAGGGATCTTCGGATCTTCACGAAACCCTGCTGAAGGAGGTCGGAGAAAATGAGCTGCTTTCATTTGCTTCATACGTGGATTTGCATATAGAGCTGATTGTTCTATGTCGAAATCGACTACCTTCATTTACTGAACTTATAACCTGAAGTAAGACACCGGAATTATGCTGCCAGTTCCAAAGCTTGATGCATACTGCTGATATGCAGGATCAATGCAAAAGAAAACATGTAGAGCAGTGGTTGGCAAATTATTGATAAGACCCAAACATTGCCAAAGGGAAGCGTGTTTCATTTTGA